TAATTTTTAAACATTTAAAACTTATTATTTTATGTGCAAATTGCCTAACAGAAACCATATTTCATGTTTGGGACTATAAGACTATGACTGTGGGATCATTTTCATATCATTAATGTGACATTATGGTATCAACCAGGCCTGATCGAACACAAGCACCAGCAAATCTTAACCAAGATTCCCCAAAGACGCATCTATTAGCGAATGAATCTCGGCCAGTGGCTTTTGCCTCCCTATTCAATCAAGAGGTATACTCGATGACTGACAATTTTTTGGTGTTCAATACCAGGTAGGAATTAAACTTTATCTTGGGCCTGAGCAAACAAGGATGTTTTGTACTAGTTGTCTTTACCTTTGTCCATCTTCTCTCATGCTTTGTATCACACTCTGGAGTTCAGCAATTGACTGAAAACAATTTTAAAAAGATTTAGTTTATATGGATGAAAAGAGTCTACAAATGAAGTAGCTAGAATAAAAATATACTCTCCAGTGAGTAAACAAAAATAGCTTGCTTATAAACCAACCAATGCTATGGTCTTACACAGCTTTCCTATGAATTGCGCCCTCTAGTGCTACAATGATGTAAATGATACAAAGGTCATTCAAATTATCGATACCAATGAAGATTATATTAATGAGAAATTTGACTATGTTATAGATGACAAACTGGATTGCAGTTTTTGATTTTAACAACATTGCCTTTATTAATATACGTTGTTTTACGACACAGAAGCACTCTACCACTAGAGGGCGTGTTTCATAGAAAAGGTGTTATGATGTACAGTACGCTGATTAAATTAAAAATTAAACAACACTTACCTCGGCAGACTTTGTAAGTCTGTGTGTGTATTCTTTTTCAATCTCCTTCAGCCTGCCATTGGTCTGTTTTAATAATAAAAGAGAATTTTTTTTTTAAGCAAATACTCGTAATAAAAATGACAAAAAAAATAGAATCAGTTCAATTAATTCTTCTATTTTGCAATGTTGTATTGTCAGGGAGTGCAATTCTGTGAAGTAAATAATTTACCTGTTCAAGAGCTTTTTCCATGTCGTTACTGTGTTCTCTTTGTAGTTGTAGTTTCTGCTGTTCCATCTGAGACTTTAACTGTGAGACCTGGGAATTTTGAAAAAGACTATCAATGTCCATCAATCCTGTTACTGTAAATGACGTTATTTTCGATTGGAATTAATTTTCGCTATTTTTGCTGCAGGAATGATTCAGTGAAAATAAAATCCTGCGAATACTGTAGAATACTTTATTTTTGTTTGGAATTCATTTTTGCTATTTTCGCTGAAGGGATGATTCCGTGAAAATAAAAACCAGCGAATATACTTTTTTTCCTATATTTTACATTCAACTCGTCAAAAATCAGTGAAAATAAATTTCATACAAAACTCCCAAAAAGTATTTTCCAGCGAAAATAAAGTATTCCACAGTATACCTTTTCCCTATATTTTACATTCAACTCGTCAAAAATCAGTGATAATAAATTTCATACAAAACACCCAAAAAGTATTTTCCAGTGAAAATAAAGTATTCCACAGTATACCTTTTCCCTACATTTTACATTCAACTCGTCAAAAATCAGTGATAATAAATTTCATACAAAACACCCAAAAAGTCTTTTTAGCGAAAATTAATTCCAGCGAAAATAAAGTATTTTACAGTATATGAACACCATTAGCAGCAAAGCCAGTGAATTTAAAGACAAGACACAAAGTTACAAAAATGGGAATGTTTTTATTCAGGATTATTATTCTATAAAAATAATAAAAATTGGAATTCTGTTCTGTATAGATTCATTCATCAGAACTAATGCAAGGGTCTGTTACTAATATGATGAAGATACAATTTTTTGAAAATGTAATTTTGGTTGATGTGTAATCAGGAACTTCACAATCAACAAATGACTAGCAACAAAACAAGTACATGTATTTCTTACTTCCTACTGTAATTGTGGTCACGCAAGCCATATTCAAATTGTAAATACCCAACAACGACTAACTCCATATATGGAATCTAAATACCAAATGAATTGTGGGTAAAATGAGAAACTTACATCGGCCTCATATTCCCTTGCTGACTTCTGTTTCTCTTCTTCTCGTAACAACCCCAATTCTACAATTTGCTGTTTTCGCAACGAGTTGGACTGAATGACTTCTTCTCGCAAATCTCTCACTTGTTTCTCAAGTTCATTTATTGTCTATTTATAAAAAAAAAATTCAATGCGTCATTTAATGACTCAATTTCAATTATAAATTTTTCAACATGAAAATATTAATGATAAAGTCATAACTGTGAATGAGTGAAGATGAGGGTACATCTATTGAGACACAAATGATACAAGAAAAAAACTGCCATGCTGTCAGTCAGCCAAACAAAGTTAGAAAGACGTTAGCTGAAATGTCTCATTTCATGGTTCAAAGTTCAACTACAATGCAGTGAATTGTGGGAAATACATTGTCTGAAGCGAGTTGGTCACCATGCAAGGTTGAACATTTTGAAAATATCTTTATTAGTTTGGTGCTGACAAGGCTTTGATGTTACATGTTGGAATGAACATGTCAGCATTGGGTACATTTTTCAAAATCGTAACACTCATACGACTTTGTTGTTGTGATACTTTTAATCATAATGCTTATAACATAACCATAACACTCATAAACTGACCTGTGAATCTCTTTCGTGTCGTTCTTTAAACCTCAGTTCTTGTTCTTCAAGTCCATTTCTCATTTTTTCAGACAATCTGTCCATTTCTTCTTCATGCTCCCTATGTGACATCTCCTTGTCAGCGTGCGAGTCTCTCAATATGGCTGCCTTTTCTTGTTCAAACTTCAACCTCAGTTCAGCAATCTGTGAAGCAAATTGTAAAAAAATATTATTTTATTTTCATCTCACTACACTACACAACACAGAGTTTATTAGAGCACCTCATTGAAAATGTTTGGTTTCTAATAGAATGCAATTTTCCTACCTCCTGTTCATATCTCTGTTGCTCCTCTTCCATCTGCCTAGCATTCTCTTTGGCTTGTTTTTCTCTGAGAGCTTTCGACTTCAATAAATCAGCTTCCACTCTCCCCATCTAACAAAAGAACAAACAGTGAAA